AATGCGTATAACCGTGAAACAGATTGTCGCCTCTGGGTGTTAATTTCAATGTCAACTTTTATTTTTGTATTTACATACACTCTATCCTTGATATTGATCACTTAACCCATAAATATAGCATACCTTAAAACTATATTCTATCATATATATATATATATATATATATATATATATATATATATATATATATATATATATATATAAAGAGAGAATATTAATGTGATTGATGTTATCTTCATCATCCTGGTAAATTCCAGATGGATAGTTAGTGTCCTACTCTATTTAAACAACTGAAATTTATTCAAATTTGTTGGGATAAGATTAACAGGATGAATATATACCATTGGAATTTTTCACTATTAAAAACTTTCTCATCACGGTTTTCTGAATTCCATTAACAATCACAGGTTAAAAGCATTTTTACTGATAGACTCTTCATTAGTTCAGCAGACCATGTCCAATTTAAAAGAGATCTTTTTTGTTTTATAATTATATTTAATGAATCACATAGATAGATAGATAGATAGATAGATAGATAGATAGATAGATGAATGAACAGAGATAGATAGATAGATAGATAGATAGATAGATAGATAGATAGATAGATAGATAGATAGATAGATAGATAGATGAATGAACAGAGATAGATAGATAGATAGATAGATAGATGAATGAACAAACAGAGATAGATAGATAGATAGATAGATAGATAGATGAAAGAATGAACAGAGATAGATAGATAGATAGATAGATAGATAGATAGATAGATAGATAGATAGATAGATAGATAGATAGATATGGACAAACTAAACACACGCGAATGTTACAGCTTCTTCTTCCTTTCTTTCTTCTCCTTTCTTTTTCCTAAAATTAAACAGTGCCTTTAATATATCTTTTCTAGCAATCGAGCATAATTTATCCATTGTTTCTATCGGGTAAATGTAGGGGGGTGTAACGTAGGTGCGGACTACTGATTGAAATAATAGAACGAAGGCCGAAAGAGCCAAGAAACGGATTCACAATCTTGTCTTAAATATGAGAACGGAATCATGACGATTGCATGAAGAATTAGTATTAAAAAACAAACAGAAAAATAGCATCTTTAAAAATGAGAGAAAGAACAATAAAAACAATATAAATAACTACATTTATTTCAAGGCAAATAAAAGACGTTAATTTTTAAGACAAAACGTGTTAGAAATAATTTCACTTGGAAGAACGGAAGCGCGATTAACACGTCACGATAACAAGCGGAAATTGTAACTTCAACAAAAGGAAAGGAAAATGGCTAACACCTCATTATTGACGGATTGGATTTGTTAAGAGAAATAAACAAACAAAAAGCGTATTCGTGAAAGAAAATATTTTCAATGATGCAATAGCAGATTTGATGTGTCCAATGCCACTCATTGATGTCATTGATCGGACTGTCAAACTTCATTAAACTCGATTATCAAAGTCGTGATATTAAATACAAAATTCAGTGCAATTAGAACTGCATTCCTTTTGTTGAACGCCCATCATACATTGCATATCTGGTGTTTCATTCATAAAATCTGCCAACTGGATTTGCCGCCGATCTCCAATCAAACAAGTCTAACCACGTGAGCTCCAGATTGGCGTTTCTGTTGCCATGTTCAAATAGGAAACTCATCATTTGATGAATTTCGATCTTTCTGTTCTTTTATCAGTCATTCAAACAGCAAGAAGTACATCAGAATTCATTTGCACGTGACTAAATCCAAATTCTATGAACTAAATTTACAGGTTCTGTCTTCTGGGCACAATGACATTGTTTCTTTTATAACAAATAAATAACCATCCTAGGAAGCAATTGTCTTTTCCTTCTTACCAATTTTTTAGACACGTCCAGGGTTTTTATTTCTAATTTTTAGTCAAATAGCCGCACTTAGTGAAATTGGCTGGGAAGAGAATCCTCTAAATAATGCCACAGAACCATGCATTTCTCAGGATGATGCTAATAAACATTGAAATATTTCTAAAAATCACACTTGGATTTTGTTTGTTAATGCCAATTTGGCTTTCTCTGTTACTTTTATCTTTTATGTTTAAAAGACTCTCCTTTGATTTGATTGGTTAAAGAACAAATACAAACACATTCTTGGTCACATGCACATACACACAGAAACACACAGATATATATATAGAGAGAGAGACAGACAAACAGACAGACAGACAGACCTCACTTTCCCGCCATGATAGAGTTCAAAAAGCGTCTCCGAACCCTTGTGGGTGACGAATTATTCTCTAGCCTTCAACCTCTTTCCGACAGGTGAGATATGACAATCCTCTCGCTGTTCTGCTGCTACGTCCATGGAAAGTACTCGGACGAAATACATTCCCTGGTCCCGCCAAGACAAACGTTCACGGCAAGAATACGTCACTTACATCGTAGCAAACCAGCCACATTCCCCCCGTATTCCACTCGAACAGCTTCTTCCCGCGTACCACTGCCCTGTGGAACCGACTCCCAACGAGATGTTTCTCTGGTCATTACAATCTGAACCTGTTCAAGGTCAGAGTTAAATGTTATCTTCCACTCCTATACACACAAATGGACCCCAAACGTAACCCTCTACTTCGAGTGTCCCCACCCCCGTTCTAAAAAAAAGTTCTAAGAAACTTGAAGTATAAAAAAGTTTTAGTAAATTGACCAGAGATCACAGCCTAAATTAGAAAATAGATTTGTTCAATAACAACAAAATCAAAGTCACTTACAACTTGCTTGGGTAACATGGTTAAATTAATCATCTGACCCAACAATGATGAATTTGAAAGTAGTTAAAAAATACAGCCAGTAATAATTGAACATTCTACTATCAAAACAAAGACGACTCTCCGCTTCGGTGAATGTGCTTAGTAATAAAAAATGTGGTCTACAGAGTTTATAATCCGTAGTGGGAATGACGAAAAGTTTTGCAATTGGGTTGCAGGTGCCGTGTGGAAAAATAGATTTGGAAAAATCTGAGCACGACATTTTGTTCTCATAGTAATTGGCAAATAAAAGAAGCAGGCAGACCAGATCCGACAATTGAGTGGGGAATTTGAAATATCGAGAATTTGTTTGGCAGTAATAGCAATGACGGAAAAGATGGCGATCATTCGGGGCATTGTGATGACAAAATGGTAGACAGGAAAAAACAAAGTTTGTTGTGGAGGAATCATAAAAACTCTGCTCACCTGGTCCTCTTCCTCGATGCCTACATCCGGGCTTCCTGAATATCACGCCTTATATGGTAATATTAGGAACACGATGAAAACAATCTCTCTTTGCTTCCTACCTCAGCCTACTCCTCCTGTTCCATGATATATAATGCGTCAGGTAATGAATTCCTGATTAATAATTGAGTCACCTGACATTTTCAACAGCCTTACGAGCGTTGCTGCCGCCCACAAATCGTGCACATGAAATTTCAAGTCGCAAGAAAAGTGCGAAATATATATATATATATCTTTTATATATTGTATTATATATAATATATGCATTATATATATATATATATATATATATATATATATAATAATCGATTCTCCCGTCAAGATTCGACGTATGAGGGTCAAGCAGATCAGTTTCCAGGAAACCGACAGTCCGACACCGGCACATGAGATTTGATTATAGTGGTGAAGGTTTCGTGCAGGACCATCCACACTTTTTGAAGGGACGAATACAGAGACCTGGTGCACTACGTGCCACAAGGTTCCCAAACGACCCTCCGCAGGTTTTGAATTCAGAGTTCTCCTTCTCCTAGACCAGTTGCCATCCAAGGCTATAGAACCCAGTCTGCCCTGCTATTTTACCCGTAGCTGAAGGGAGAATAGAGAGGATTCACACCTTTCCCAAGGGCGATAGCACGTAAGTGAATGTAATGGATTCGACTGGAATTCGAACTCGGCTCTCCGATTCCTCAATCCGAGTCGCTAACCATTACTCCGCCGTATAGTTTTGCAGTATGATACATTTATGGGTAATGGTACTGAATATGGAAGATAGAGTATATGTAAATATAAAAGTGTACACTGAGGTCAACACCCAGCAATGATAGACTGTTTCATGCATGAACGCAGTCATTATGACAGAGGATTGCGTCCAGGCATGAAACGGACTGTCGCCACTCGGTTTTGACTTCAGCGTCCACTTTTATATAAATGTGTGTGTGTGTTTGGTGTTAATTTGAGAAACTGTTTTTGAAGCCAAAATTGCTGATTTTTCATTGGCTTGCATTTAAGGCCAGCAGACTTTGAAGGTAAAGTGAACGCTGACTGAAAAATGATAAAGAAAGTTCAGTAATAGAATTAATATTAAAAAGATTTTTTTACCGTCATACTGACTTTGTAATTTCGTGATCACATAGATATGGGATTACTCTTCAGAGCAGAGTTGGGCTATACTGCAATATAATGCAATATAATTAAGGGAATTATTTTTTTTTAATATATTTATATATATTATATATATATATATATATATATATATATATATGTATATATATCAAATATGTGGTGCAGTTTAATTTATATTGCAATGATTCATAGAAAAAGTAAATTAGTAAAGTTGATAATATAAAATGGCGAAATCACTTCGCTGACTAAATTTAGTTAGTGAAGTGATTTCGCCATCTTATATCATTAATTTTACTAATTTACTTTTTGTACACACACACACACGCACACACACATACATATAGATAGATAGATAGATAGATAGATAGATAGATAGATAGATAGGAGGAACCGATATATATATAAGTTAGGAGAATTAATAAGACAAAGAGGAAAAGTTTTTGCGTGGCGCATTTCGTTCTTTAGGATTTCCTCGAGTTAAATTAATGTTTCCGTTGATGCCAGTACACATGCTCACGAACGACAATATGGAAAAGGAAAATTTTAAATTGAATTTTTTGTAATTTTCTTCTTTCTCAAATCTTTTATAATCTTCTTCCATTCCTTCATTTCGCCTATCTCACATTTCGCACTTTCAAATGTTTGATCGTAAAACTTTTCTTTCATTTTTCAGTCTTTACGGCTCTCTACTTGACAAATTCATACTCTCCTTTTCTCCTTGCTCTCCTGAGTTGATTAACCGCCTCCATCTTCACCATTCCTTTTATTTTTTCCTTTTTCTTCATTCTTCTGTTCTTTCATTCCCGTCTTACAGAAGCAAGTGTTTCTCAGAGTCAGATATCGATTCTTCTTCATCCGGATTCGATTCCCCATCTGTGGAATTAGACTTGACTGATGCATTTACGTCAGGAAGATTCTCGGCGAGCCGCGTCAAAGATAAACTGGCCACCACCATTTCAGTATTGACTTACTCCCATGCATCTTCAGGCTGTGGTATTTTGATGAAAAATCATATTAAGTCTTTTTTTTCCCATCTGTGATTCCAGTTAATGTTCGACATTTGCGCTGCCATTTCCGCCGCCACTGCTTGTTAGAAAACATTTAGTGTTGTGCATTTTTTCCATATAGCAAGTCAAAATTATCCTTTTGCAATATATTTAACTACATAATTTAGCTAGGTTATTGAAAAGTCCTCAGCCCGACCAACTTCTAACCAACGCCAAATATATGTTGGCCCCAAAACTGCTCGCACGCACTTGCGCGAGCACACACACACGCACACACAAACATACATATACACACACACACATATATATGAATACATACACACAGACACACACATATATATACATATATATATATATATATATATATATATATATATATATATATATATTTATATTTAGCAATCCTTCCTTTATGCATGTTTCATTAAAAACGACAGACAAGGTACTACGGTTGAGCTTTTTATTTAATTTTTCTTGTGTTCTGACAAGAGCTTTTTTTCTGGACAAAGAGTGTGTAAGAACTGTCCGAATGTTCTGTATTTTCCGAGCGCTTTCGGCTATACCTTTTAGCCATTATCAAGGATGATTCAATTTTCAGCTTAGTAGAGTGTGTGTGTTCTGTGTATGTTCAGTGTGTGGTAGTGATGTTTTTAGTTTCCGAATACGGTTAGCACATTGTGGCTTTGTTCGTAGTTAATATTGTTAAGAGTTGGCTTTTTCTTTTTTATTATTAGAGCTTCCATTATTTTTAGTCTTTTTTTTTTTGCAAGTGGATGCAGTTAATATATTTGTGTTTTCTACTAGTATGTTACTAATAGTGTCGGGTAAATCTGAGTGTGTGTTTAAATGTGTTCTGATGGAACTGTGATCAGATAGGTGTAATGTAAGACGTCTGGATAAACATGTGGTTGTGTAAAAAATGTAATTATTTATGAGTCCGGTTTGGTGAGGAACACAGTTCCTTAAAGGGCATTTGAACTCATAGATAATGTTTGTTCTTTGTAATTTTGACTTAGTTGGTGTGTTGTTATTTTTGAGGATAAGGTTGGCTGTCTTAAATTTTTATAATAGATAATAAGTTTGATTTTTTAGGATCAATAGGAGTAGTATATTTCTTTATAATATGTCTTAGAGAAGATTCATCTTGTTTGTAATTAATATGCATTTGGTTTTTGTAATAAATGTGTATGTGATTTTTAGTTGTCTGTTCGCTATCGTTATTACTTGCTTTGGGGAGGAATAGTCTAATTTGTTGGTCTATAAGGTAGTTAGGGAAACCGTTGTTAATTAGTGTTTGTTTAACGTTGTTAAGTTCTTTGAGAAAGAGTAGTCGGGAGGATGAGTTCTGGTCTATACGGAAATATAGTTTTAAGGTGTGCTATATTTATGGGATAAAGTGCTGAATATCAGAGATAGAGCATGTGTAAATATAAATATAAAAGTGAGCATTGAAGTCAAAACTCAGATGCGACAGGCTGTTTCATGCTAGACGCAATCGTCAGGCCGCCGATTGCGCCACTATTATATTTATATATGTGTGTGTATGCGTGTATATATATATATATATATATATATATCTTCCACATATATGGCATTTTTGAAAACATCTATTTTGACATATCGCATATTGTTTCGGTATTAATTTATTAAAAAAAGGCGTTAAATTGAAATATTCCAGTCGTATAATAATTTTAGGGTCATATACTAGATGATAAAAACTTTCAAGGTATCATTGGTCTGATTAAAATGTGTTCCTTTTTTTTATTAAAGTACACTTGAACGTTACTGGAATCTTCGTGAATACAATTTTGACATTTTAACCTTTCCCGCCAATGACCCAGTCTTTTTCTTGTCTTGCTACAAAAGTGAGTGACATTTGGCACAATGTTATCTAGGATGAAATTTTATGTTGATTGCATAAAAGTTTTCAGTGTGTGTTTCATCAATTATCTTCGGTGGTAATCTCAAGTGTAAGGAACACTTCTAAAACTATTTTTCTATTGTCACTGAAGAAATGCAAGATGCAACAACGCGGTTTTGTTGGACTTGGGGCTCATGAGTTGCCATTGAGCATGCGCATTGATGTGATAGCATCTTTTTTCTCATGTCTTCTGAAGTGTCCGGAAATCGATATAATATTGACGTTTTCTGTCTATCAGGACTTCCGCTTAAGTTCTTGTTGCTATTCCAGAGATTTTTAACTATTTATTACATCGGGTTTCGCTCTAAGCAACAGAAGTTACGGGAAAGTCTTTTCCAAACCGGTTATTAGATGAAAATTATCCATAAGGCCTTAATTTCAGTTATTGCTTTTCTGAAAACAAGGTTGTTTGCTCATTATTGAAGTTAAGCTGCTCCAAATCCCATAACGATAAAGGTTTTATATAAATTTACATCTCTTCGTAATTATAACAGTTACAAATTGTGGCACAGACAAAAAAATAAAATAAAAATAGAAATTTATTAAAAAAAAAAAAAAAAAAACCCGGACTTAGCCATTTACTAAATTCCCGCTGTAACGTTGTAAGGAAATATTTTCACATAAACAACAGTTCTTTTATAAAAAGAACCAATTTCTATGTGCACCATGACGCGTAGCGGTGGTAAGCGGTAAAATTTAACAATCGAAGTGCCAATTTTCGATTTTTTGTAAACAAATTCAAAAAGTAAAATTCGAAAATGAAACTAAACCTATTGATTATTGTTTTTATATCGTTTCTAAAGTTTTTAAGTAGTTTGTGTATTGTCAGGTATGAAATTATAGAAAAAAAGCAAAAGTTGTTACACAAAATGGATTCAAAGAACAATATGGAAGGAAGTTTGAGTTTATCATTCTACGAACACGCTGAGAATATTCCCATAATATAAATTCCTTGTTATTCGTTTTAATAAATTAACTGAAGATATTCATCTTTTCACTATGTAATGAGTTGGTCGGTCAACTTGACACCCCCAAAGCGAGTGGAGGTGGGCATGCGCGTGAACTGTAATTGGTAGCTGGCTTGATGGTGTTTTGCATAGGCGAGTTACCAAGCTCTATGGAAAGGGCTGGAATGAGAAGGGGGGCAGTTTTTTTTTTGTCTCAGAAGTGGAGACTGCGTTCGTCGCTACGACAGCAGGAGAGAAAGAGACGAAATCATTTTTTTTTTTCGTGAAATATTTCAAAACACACCATTCATTGATACCTTTTTTTTTTTTTCTCAGAAGTGACACTTTTCTATATTCCGCTTCTGGCTGATTTTTCTCTTTGCTTTTGTGAGATTTTAATATGCTATGATTCAAATAATTGTTTCATAACGTTTAATGTTCCAAAGACAGACTTTCTGTTAGTATTAAATAATAGCCACGTTTTTGTTGCCGTTGCTTTTTATAGCTAAAGAAAGAGCAATAAACATTTTCTAGTGATTATGAGAGAGGTGAGGGTGGGGTCACTCAGAACGGCTTTCTGTCTCGAATGCTAAAGGTTTCATCAAATTCTCTCTAAAGGTGATATAACGTTCTTTCCACTCGACCTGTGCACCTAACAATGCATTTATTTAAACCCAATAGCTAATCAAACTATTTAACATTGAGAAAATGATTTGTAACATTTAAGTAAAAGTACAAACTTTTAAAAGATTTTTTTTTTACTGTTATAAAAATATCAGTTTATCTTCAACCTTTCTCATTCCAATTACTTGTACGATTTTTCATTCTGTAGTATTTTCGGTCTGAATTTCTGGGAATGCCCCTCATCTTAGCTTTTTTTTTTTATCAAAACGTTTCTTTATGTGTTTTTCAATCCGCTTAACTTTCATGGAGGGTCGTTGTTCTCGACCCGGGATATCTCGTTTTGTTCTTTTTTTTTTTTCTACTGCTCTGTTAATGTTTGCTGTGTTTCCAATTAGTCTGGACCTGTGCAACCCGTGCCTGGGATTGAACTAATATTTGCTATGCCACCAAATTCACGACCCAACAGTTTAATCAACTAGTCTGTTGTTTCGAGGTAAGAAGGCCAGTGGATAGAACATCAAAAGCTTTATGATAATATCCTTTTTTATGATAATATCCTTTTTTTTATGATAATATCCTTTTTATGCTTCTGTAGCCATCAGTGGAATAAAATTCTCTTAATTCAATATTCATGAAAGACGATAAGATGAAATCTAATGTGCTCGATACATCTAAATTCATTGACATGGCGGTGAGTGATATACAATGAAAATAGAATCAGATTCACGTCAACGAGAATATGTCATTTAAACAGACACATGGTTTATTATTATTTGCATTGGGAATAAGAAAAACACCTGATCATATAAAAGTGTGATGTTTTTTTTTTTTTTCATTTTGTAATTAAAATCTTCGAATAATATTAAAAGTTATCAACAACTTCAATTTCGCTTCCAAAGGCACGTAATTCTTCCAATCTTATCTGTGATACACCGCCACTGAGATTCTTTCAGATTCTGTAGAATGAAGGAATGCAAAAGATTTCGAAAATGTTTCAGAGACTCGCTCATTGGCTTCATTTCATACTGGCCACGTTCTTACATGCAGACCCAAACTGACGCAAGCAAAGTTTTTATTCAATCGATTTTAATAGCCAATAAATTCTAAACTCCTTAAAAATTCTTAATGATTATTGATTTATTATTTTTGATCATAAAGAATTGGAATTTCGACAGGTTTTTTTTTTTTAGATATTATTGCGAATGTTTCTTTCTGACAGAAAGCAACAAAATGAAGGCACCTGTCCTAAAGAATTAATTAACAAGACCATTGACTCACAATTCTGATCTTGCACAAAAATATCTTTGGGTAGTTTGGTGGCTCAAGTAGTTGTGTATTTCACATCGGTGCCATTCCTTTGGTATACAAACCCAGTTTGAATGGCAATCTAACTCATATGGCGTCAGTTTTCAACTCAAAATTCTGCTGAAACACAAGCTTCCTACTGCTTGTGAGAGATTATTTCAATTTTTATATCTTTTAGATCTGCAGGCAATCATAGATCTCTACAACTTCCTTTTCTCTATTATCAGTAAATTGGCATGAGTGTTCTTGGGAAAAGTAAGGGAGTAGTTTCCTGTTGTTTTCTCCACGGTTTTCAATTCAGGGTTGCCCTTCTTCTCGGCTTGGCTGGCAACCGAGTTGAGAGAGCCTAATTTACACATTTAATTAACATACACCTGGGGGGGGATGATAGCAGAAGAAATAGATTCTCACCTTTCCTAAGTGCATTTGTGCAAAAATGAATGCAATATTGATTCGCAGAATCTATTTTCCGCGCTGATAACCGTTACGCTGCCCACGCGTAATGCCGAGGCATTTTGTGCAATTTTATCAAATCGTATTTCACGGTTCCATAATTTCCAATTTTCTGTCTTTTAATCTGGTCATATTTATGGCGTTGATCTGCTTTGAAAATGAGAATTCTTTAATCGGTAAATATCTTTTGTCTTACATGTTTTTAAAATAATAATTCTTCTAGTCATTCTATAGACTTTGTTCAAGAGACGCGCTTACGACCAACATAATGTTTTTTTAAATGTTTTTTCCTATGATCAGTTAATTGATTTGAATCATTTGCTTGTGGTTAGCGTCTAAAAATTGATAAACAATTGACGAATGGATTGGATTTCTATGTTTGAACGATTTTATCACATCAAAATAATCTTGTCTTTTGCATCAGCGAATAATGTTTGCCAAATATTCTTTCCAACCAATATGGAACTGTTCTCTTTACATTTCAATATAATTCGCTACACGCAGTTTCACAATAGAAAAAAAATCGTGCACATTAAATCATGATTACATTTCATTGTTATTTTTCTGGTTTGCCATCTATTATGGATAAATTCAGTATTCATCTTTACAAAATGACAAGATGAAGTTTTTATTTATTTATTTAGAACAGTTTTTTGTCAAATGTCCATAATCAGAAGGATGATTTATTATCACGAGTGAACTTTGAAAGCTGAACTTTTATCTTAACAGATGAAGAAATGTCAGTCACTGCTTAGAAGCGATAAATGTTTCGACAGTTATCAAAATTTACAAATCATCACAACTTATTCATCAACACACATTTATTTTCACCGTAATTAGCGTCAAAGTTCAGATTTCTGGACCAAATTCAATACTTTTCTATTTATTGGATTTTTCAAAGCAGATTGAAAGAGAAGGCTGCTTATTTTTCTACTTTACAATCTCTTTTCCACAAATGAAATGTGGCAAAGCCTCTCGTTAATCTATTGCTATTTCCATGAAAAGTATTCTGACGCACTACATTCCTTACTTTCACTAGTTTTTAACTTCCTGGCTAAGACCCGTCATACCACGCCCATTGTCCCAGCCTCATTCACTTCGTATTCTTTTGATGAGATGTGAGTTCCACTTGAACAGCTTCTTCCCACGAACCGCTGCCTTGTGGAACAGAATGTCAAGAGGTTACTTCATCAATCACTTTAATCTTAACTCTTCAATTCCAACCGTCATCTTCCCCAAATATCACCATGCTCTATAACCGTCTCTGTAGAATGGCTTTCGTGCCTCGTTTAGGGTGAATATTATTGTAAAAACATCCATTTGCTTTCAATTTTAGAACTAGCCAAAGACTTAAGCAAGTCTCTTCCTTCTCTTCATTCCTCTCAGTCACTTTCTTTTGATATCTCTCTCTCTCTCTCACCCTTTCTCTCTCTCTCTCTCTCTCACCTTTCTCTCTCTCTCTCTCTCTCTCTCTCTCTTCTCTCTCTCTCACCCTTTCTCTCTCTCTCTCTCTCACCCTTTCTCTTGTCACCCCATCAATATTTTCCAAAACAAAATGACTATTCATATAAAACGATCACGTTGATAAATATCAAAAAACATCTTCAGTTTTCATGGCTTGTTTATGAGCTTTAATCTAAGCAGAAATATACCAGGAGAAGGAGGTACCCAATGCATATGGAAATCACGAACAGGGGCCTTTGAGATTTGCTTCCTCGCCATTGCTCTTACAAGAGCCGCTTGGCCCTAACGTGTTATTTATGTGGTTGCGTTGTTGTCGCATCCCAGCATCAGGATCATCATCGCTTCTCCTTATTCCTTTTCTCCATCCGCACCCCCCCTGCCCCTGATAACGGTAAGCGAAGATGGCTGTGAATTAAAGGAAGTTTGACAACACCATTGATGGACAACTCTGCGAGAAGGAGAATCCCACACACATGACCAGAAGCACCTCCTTCGTGGTTCACAGGGGATTGACATAGGCGGGATCTTATTTATGCATATTTAAACTACAAAAGTAAATGGAATATTCAAGACAGGCAGAGGTCTACATCAGATTTTCTAACATGCAACAGAATTGCAATTCAAAATTAAAGATTTCCTTCAAAATATTCATCTACAGTCGAGACATAGCGGCCACCATACCTGTGCAGCAGTTAATGTCTATATATCCGTTTCACCAGGATTACAAATGGTTTTGTATTCAGAGTTGTTCTCCTCTGAGTCTAGTTGCCAACCACGGCTTGAAAGTATAGTCTGGCCTGTTATTGAACCCATAGATTGGGGAGGAATAGAAGAGATGGAGTCATACCTTTCCCGGGCGTATTTGTTCAAAAGTTAATTTAACGAACGCAGTCGGATTTTATATTCGGCTCACTCATTACTTATTCCATGCGGCTAACCCCGCCCATGCAAATCTCAGCTTTTATCTATTGGTTGATTTATTTATTTATTTTTTAACATGATTGCTGCTTTGTCGTTGAAGGATGATTACCAATATGCTATAGAGCGTTCATTCTTCACAGTGTTCGCCATCTTCCTGCTCCAGTCAATTTTAAAACATCACTGACAATTATGTATTCGCCTCACGCCATTTGCCTACCGTTTCTTTTCTCTTTTTCACTCCTCTTTCTTTGTTTTGTTTGGTTTCATTGGCTTTCCTTTCTCTAAGATTCCGTTTACCTCTTCCTTCTGGCGTCACTAACCAATCCTAGAAAAATCACGTGACCGACATTCAGAGAACGTCCCCATGACCTATCCCATCTCAGAGTTAGCTGTGAATGTTCAAGACTATTTCCAGTTAATAGGAATGACTGTGATTATTTTGTTCTGATGTAATCTCTTTTATTTCTATTTCAATAGGCAATCGATCAAAGAAAGAAAGCGCAGAAATATTTTTTTTTCTTGTCTCTGCTTATTATTTCTTCACCAACAAAAAAAGACACCGTTTCTGAATAAAACGCACTTTCAAGACAGAGCCATAAATAAAAAGTGATATTCTAACCTTAACCCTAACCCTGCCATTAAAAGAGAAGTGATATTCTAACCTTAACCCTAACCCTGCCATCAAAAGAGAAGTGATATTCTAACCTTAACCCTAACCCTGCCATTAAAAGAGAAGTGATATTCTAACCTTAACCCTAACCCTGCCATCAAAACAGAAGTGATATTCTAACCTTAACCCTGCCATTAATGTCAGAGAAGTGATTTTAACCTTAACCCTAACCCTATCTGAGAAGTGATAAGTTGAACACCTTAAACAACCCAAAAACAGAAGTGATATTCTAACCTTAACCCTATCTAAAAAAGAAGTGATAAGTTGTAAAGTGAACCAATTCAAAAGAGAAGTGATATTCTAACCTTAACCCTGGTTAATGGTGTGATATTGTAACAATGAACACCTTACCATCAAAAAAAGAAGTGATAAGTTGATAAGTTAAACAATGTCAGCTACCATTAAAAGGTTAATGTGATATTCTAACCTTATGAACCTAACCCATTCTTAAAAACAGAAGATAAGTTGATAAGTGAAACAATGTCAGCTAATTTTAGGTGGTTAAAAGTGATACTGTATTGGACCTGAACCAACCAGCATTCTTAAAAACAGAAGTGATAAGTTGATAAGTGAAAACAATGTCAGCTACATTTTAGGTGGTTAAAAGGTGTGATATTGTAACCCCCTTACCAGCATTCTTAAAACAGAAGTGATAAGTTGATAAGTGAAACAATGTCAGCTAACCCTAGGTGGTTAATGGTGTGATACTGTAATGGAGATGAACACTTACCAACATTCTTAAAAACAGAAGTGATAAGTTGATAACCCTAACCCTGCTAACAATGTCTGTCAGCTACATTTTTTAGGTGGTTAATGGTGTGATACTGATAATGGAATGAACACCCTAACCCTTCTTAAAACAGAAGTGATAAGTTGATAACCCTGAAACAATGAAGCTACATTTTTAGGTGGTTAATGGTGTGATACTGTAACCCACTAACCCCTGATAAGTTGCCATTAAAAGAGAAACATATTCTAAGATGAACACCCTAACCCTTTCTTAAAAAGAAGTGATAACTGTAATGGAGATGAACACTTACCAGCATTCTTAAAAACAGCCATTAAAAGAGAAAGTGAAACAATTCAGCTACATTTTAGGTGGTTAATGGTGCCATCACTGAAATGGAGATGAACACTTACCAGCATTCTTAAAAACAGAAGTGATAAGTTGATAAGTGAAACAATGTCAGCTACATTTTAGGTGGTTAATGGTGTGATACTGTAATGGAGATGAACACTTACCAGCATTCTTTAAAACAGAAGTGATAAGTTGATAAGTGAAACAATGTCAGCTACATTTTAGGTGGTTAATGGTGTGATACTGTAATGGAGATGAACCACCAGCATTCTTAAAAAAAGAAGTGATAAGTTGATAAGTGAAACAATGTCAGCTACATTTTCTAACCTTAACCCTAACCCCTGTTAATGGTGTGATACTGTAATGGAGATGAACACTTACCAGCATTCTTAAAAACAGAAGTGATAAGTTGATAAGCCATGTCATATACATTTTAGGTGGTTAATGGTGTGATACTGTAATGGAGATGAACACTTACCAGCATTCTTAAAACAGAAGTGATAAGTTGATAACCCTGCCACAATGTCAGCTAACCCTTTAGGTGGTTAATGGTGTGATACTGTATTGGAGATGAACACTTACCAGCATTCTTAAAAACAGAAGTGATAAGTTGATAAGTAAAACAATAACAGCTACATTTTAGGTGGTTAATGGTGTGATACTGTAATGGAGATGAACACTTACCAGCATTCTTAAAAACAGAAGTGATAAGTTGATAAGTGAAACAATGTCAGCTACATTTTAGGTGGTTAATGGTGTGATACTGTAATGGAGATGAACATTACCAGCATTCTTAAAAAACAGAAGTGATAAGTTGATAAGTGAAACAATGTCAGCTACATTTTAGGTGGTTAAAAGGTGTGATACTTCTAACCTGAACACTACCAGCATTCTTAAAAACAGAAGTGATAAGTTGATATGTCATCTAAACAGAAGTGATATATTCTATTTTAACCCTGGTTAAAAGGAAGTGATATTGTAACCTGGAGATGAACACTTACCAGCATTCTTAAAAACAGAAGTGATAAGTTGATAAGGAAACAATGTCAAAAGAGAAGTGATACATTTTAAAACCCTTAATGGTGATATTCTAACCTTAACCTGAACACCTGCATTCTAAAAACAGAAGTGATAAGTTGATAAGTGAAACAATGTCAGCTACATTTTAAAAGGTTAATGGTGTGATATTGTAATGGAGATGAACACTTAAAGAGCATTCTTTAGGTGGTTAACAGAAGTGATAAGTTGATAAGTGAAAACAATGCCATTAAAATTTTAGTGATTTCTAACCTTAACCCTAATGTCCCACATTTTAGGTGGTTAATGGTGATACTGATGAACAACACTTACCAGCATTCTTAAAAAGAGAAGTGATAAGTTGATAAGTGAAACAATGTCAACTACATTTTAGGTGGTTAATGGTGTTAACCTTACCAGCATTCTTAAAACAGAAGTGATAAGTTGATAAGCCATGAAACAATGTCAGCTACATTTATGGTGTGATACTGTAATGGAGATGAACACTTACCAGCATTCAAAAAACAGAAGTGATAAGTTGATAAGTGAAACAATGTCAGCTATATTTTAGGTGGTTAATGGTGTGATACTGTAATGGAGATGAACACTTAACCAATTCTTAAAAACAGAAGTGATAAGTTGATAAGTGAAACAATGTCAACTATTTTTTAGGTGGTTAATGGTGTGATACTGTAACCCTAGCATTCTTAAAAACAGAAGTGATAAAACAGAAGTGAAATGTCAGCTACATTTTAGGTGGTTAATGGTGTGATACTGTAATGGAGATGAACCCTACCAGCATTCTTAAAACAGAAGTGATAAGTTGATAAGTGAAACAATGTCAGCTACATTTTAGGTGGTTAATGGTGTGATATTCTAATGGAGATGAACCCTTACCAGCATTCTAAAAAAAACAGAAGTGATATTCTGACCTTAACAATGTCAGCTACATTTTAGGTGGTTAATGGTGTGATACTGTAATGGAGATGAACACTTACCAGCATTCTTAAAAACAGAAGTGATAAGTTGATAAGTGAAACAATATCAGCTACATTTTAGGTGGTTAATGGTGTTATACTGTAATGGAGATGAACACTTAAAGAGAGCATTCTTAAAAACAGAAGTGATAAGTTGATAAGTGAAGCAATGTCAACTACATTTTAGGTGGTTAATGGTGTGATACTGTATGGAGATGAACCCTTACCAGCATTCTTAAAAACAGAAGTGATAAGTTGATAAGTGAACCAATGTCAGCTAAATTTTAGGTGGTTAATGGTGTGATACCCTGTATGGAGATGAACACTTACCAATTCTTAAAAACAGAAGTGATAAGTTGATAACCCTAACAATGTCAGCTACATTTTAGGTGGTTAATGGTGTGATACTGTAATGGAGATGAACACTTACCAACATTCTTAAAAAGAAGTGATAAGTTGATAAGTAAGCAATGATAAGTTAAGTGATTAATGGTAACCCTGAACCCTGCCATCAAAACCCTGGTTAAAAGAGTGTGATACTACTTAAACCTAATGGAGATGAACAACCTAACCCTGCATTCTAAAAACAAGTGATAAGTTGATAAGTGAACCAATGTCAGCCACATTTTAGGTGGTTAATGGTGTGATACTGTAATGGAGATGAACACTTACCAGCATTCTTAAAAACAGAAGTGATAAGTTGATAACCCCCAGCTACATTTTAGGTGGTTAATTGTGATAAAAGATATGAACAACCCTTACCAGCATTCTTTAAAACAGAAGTGATATTGATAACCTGAACCAATGTCACCCTGCCATTTTAAGTGGTTAATGGTGTGATACTGTAATGGAGATGAACACTAAACCCTGCATTCTTAAAACAGAAGTGATAAGTTGATAAGTGAAACAATGTCAGCTGCATTTTAAGTGGTTAATGGTGTGATAAAGAGAAGTGAGATGAACACTTAACCCCATTCTTAAAAACAGAAGTGATAAGTTGATAAGTGAAGAATGTATTCAGCTACATTTTAGGTGGTTAAAAGGTGTGATACTGTAATGGAGATGAACACTTAACCATTCTTAAAAACAGAAGTGATAAGTTGATAACCCTAACCAATGTCAGCCATTTTAAGTGAATGGTGTGATATTGTAATAATGAACACCCTAACCCTTCTTAAAACAGAAGTGATAAGTTGATAACCCTAACCAATGCCATTAAATTTTAGGTGGTTAATGGTGATATTCATGGATATTGAACACTTACCAGCATTCTTAAAAACAGAAGTGATAAGTTGATAAGTGAAAAACAATGTCATATTCTACATTTTAACCCTGGTTAATGGTGTGATACTGTAATGGAGATGAACCCTTACCAGCATTCTTAAAAAATAGAAGTGATAAGTTGAAAACAGAAGTGATATTCTAACAATGTCAGCTACATTTTAGGTGGTTAATGGTGTGATACTGTAATGGAAATGAACATATTCCAGCATTCTTAAAACAGAAGTGAAAAGTTGATAAGTGAAGCAATGTCAGCTACATT